GCCCCGGCATCACCCATGATCCCTATCCTTAAGGATCGTAAGCTAAGGCAACTAAAAATCTATTTATCTGATTCACTATATGTACAAAGTGAATGAAAAAGATTAGAACAACTTTTAATCATTTGTGACACCTTAACAGCTAACCTATAGAAAGACAACCGGACGGACCTCGGTTTCTCCATTTTTAAATAATGGCGTTGGTGTACGACAGACGATTTGTGATGGTGAACAACTGCAGGTCTTTCTAGTTGTACCCATTCGCTTTCCGTGCAAATACTTGATGCGAGTTCTCGAAAAGTATATTCTTAGTGTAACTACATTTTCTCCCTCTCGGAATTATTCTGGTTTCGTGAATACCACATAATGACCACTCGGAAGGTCTATTCGCGGTCTCACTTAATGAGTTTCAAACATGATCATCTCAATACTTCGCCTTTCGTGCCCTCGTTGGCTCATTTTCAGATTCCTATGAAAATGAAGAAACGCCATCACGAAGGCTGGCAAGCAGCGCTTAGTCGCAAACCACCATCGAAAATGACTGTGCTCTCATTGGTCAGCACGAACATCCGTTCGCTCTTCGTAAAGATGACGGATCTAACGTGCACCCTTGATTCACGCATCCACCGTAACACGTGAGTTGTTTGTATTCAAGAATCCTGGCTTGACCATAATGTCGAGGACTCACTAACTGGAATCAATGGTTTTAAATGTTTCCGTAAGGACAGAAAACACTGTAAGAATAAAACAGGAGGTGGAGTGATCACGTACATCAACTCAACCTGGAGCGGCAAGTCTGTAATTCTTTTTGATTAGTCCGCCGATGGCATCGACTGCTTAGCTATTCAATGTTTCTCTAGGTTTTCGCGAGACCCATTTATACTCAGCCCCGTTTTGTACTCAGTCTCGCAGTTTTTCTTTCTTTGAAGCATTTATTCCGTCTTTCGTTTCCCTCATAGACGATAGTCTCCACATTATTGTTGGTGACTTTAATCATGCATCCACCTATCCCATAACTTCTTTTGGCTTAACTGATATTTTCTTGTCCCCCACAAGAGATGATTCATTTTTAGACAAGGTTATTACTAATCCCTCAGAACATTTTACCCTAAACCTCACCGCACATATTTCTACTGGTGATCATGCACTGATTTTCATAAGACCCACAGTCTACTCCCGTCTCATTCACAATACACTCACAAGAACCAGNAATCTCTCCCCAAGAAACACACTTCTTCTTAAACGTTCCATCAGTGTCGTTTCTTCGTGGCTTTCTTCCCGTCCCTCTCTACACAACACAGCAATTTATTCACTGAAACACTGAACCACATGTTTAACCTATGCTGCCCTTTTGTAACTCTATCTATTTGTAACGGCAGAATGGCATCCCCACTGTTGAAATCATTCATAAGACAGAAGGAACGGTCGTACAAATCTACAGACTCAGTGGCTGTCAAGCATTACACCGACTTGATCAAAGCTGAAATCAAACACCTCTCTGCCTCGTACGCCTCCCAGCTTCTGTTATGTAACAACAGTAATCGAATTTGGCAAAGTATCAAATTGTTGTATGGGACCAAATCCAAAACGTCGGATTGTACAAAGGATTTGGACAGTGTTAGTGCAGCATTTATGCACCCATCAAGCGATGCGATCACGCCATTTGTTCTGGACGATGCCGTTCAAGTAGAGGCTGTCTCGAACGAAGCAACTTTTGAGCTTTTGCGTACCGTGAAAACCACGTGCAGTGTTAGTCCCGATGGTCTTTTATCTTCCCTTCTGAGATATGAGGCCTATTCTCTCAGTGAAATATTCACATCATTTTTGAACAATTCCTTAAAAACCTGCTCTATATCAGACTGTTGGAAACCAGTAACAATGGTTCCCATTCCCACATCCTCTACTTCAAACGTTCTAACCGAACGCTTTCGTCCTATTGCTTTAACCTCTGTTGGACTTGAGGTAGCAGAACGTGTTGTTCTTAAGCGCATTCGGTCCCATATAATCCTCTACAGTTTGCTTATAAACCAGAGGCACGCTGGATGAGGTTTCCTCTCTTCTACATAAAATTACCAAATCCCTGAATGACTCTGTGAAATCTGTCCGTTATGTGTTTCTGGACTACTCATCTGCTTTTGATTCTATTCCCCGTCCCCTTCTTCTTCATGAACTAGAGACCTTTGTTTGTCCCAGACAGTTATTAGCTTGATTTGTCGATTACCTCTCCGGGAGAATTCAGTGTACCAGGTTAGGTCGACAGAAATCCAAACCGTTGTTAAACAGCTCTGGAGTACTCTAGGATGCATTTTTTTCCCCACACTTATTTTCTACGTATATTAGTGACTTGTCTGCTTGCGCTCCTACTTCTCCCTTCAAGTATGCTGACGATGTGGTCAGGCTATCTCTGACTCTTCTGGTCTTTCACAATTTTTTGACAACTTGGATAACGTTTAATGGTTTTCCGCCACATCTGGCCTATCTCTTAATCCCTCCAAATGTTTCGAATGTTTCTTTACACTATCACGCTCTTCTTTCCCATCTGAACCGGTATCTATTGGTTCCGAACCAGTATCCCGGGTAAACTGTAATAGATACCTAGGCGTTTTTATTGATACCAATCTTCACTGGACCTCTCACATTCAACACATCGTCAGTAAGCTTCGACGACTTTCTTTTCATATCCGTAAACTTCGTCAGTTTCTTATTCCACAATCAATTATTTCAAAATTTGTGTATCAGTGTGTTTTTCCTGCTTTACTTTATTGTTCACCTGTTATTTTTCCCAACCTCCTTAAGAAAGATTTTAATTTGCTTCCATGTGGATTGACCATCATTAGCCGTGTCTCTTCAATCCCACTAAACGAGTTGATAACTAACCTATGCGAAAGTCATTTGAATGCATATGAAAAGTTTGCGCATAAGATTCTCATCGACTCCACACATCCACTACATGCTGACCTAACTTCCTGTTGTTCCCATCCCTCAACTAGATCACAATATCGTTGTGTTCCTTCTAGAATAAACATTTATCGTAACTCCACAGTACCCTCATTTTCACGTATTCTAGTTAACAAAGAACAGGTTTCCACAGAAGTTGTTAATATTTTTGGAACTTAAATATCTTTTTTCATTGTTATTTTCATTTTCTCCCCAGCTCCAAACTGTATATTTTGTATCTGAAATGTGGGCTTCACGCTTGCAGAAGTTATTACAATACAATACAATTCATATTTGAAATTTATTGATCAAAATTTGTCCACCGAAATTTTATAAAAACTTATTTTCTATCTGTTCTCATTACGAAGATAATTGTATCTCTTGCTGCAACGGGAACCGCAATAATTAATAGCTGGGTTCAAAGTGTGTACAAAGTATAGCATCGAATTTTATCGTGGATTTCGAATGATAATGGATATCCAAATCACTGAAATTCGTTCGATTCACTTTAGTTACTAACAACGCTCATCAGTAGTTCAATTAACAATATGGAAAATACAACATGAAAATTACCTTCAGTCCCTAGATAGTTTCGGTTTAGTTCAGTGAATCAGGATACCTTATGAGTGGGAAGATCGGCATTTTGATATAACCAACGGTAAGCATAACGTGAATGAGTTCAACAATTAACGGAATTAGAAGCTATTATGAACCAGAATTATTTAATAATCAGAGGCAGAGTGAAGGATGTGTATGTGTGTATGTGCGTTTGTGTTAGAATATTTAGCGTGTTAGTTGATGTGACCTTTCCACACTTGGGTCAAGTGACACGTCACATTCTGTCTTGGTTTTCCCAACCGGCCAACGTAGTTGGTGTGCCTGAACCAATATTTTTGGGCACACAGGTTGGGGCCTAGTAAACGATTGGCGGCCATAGCTAGTGTCCAAATTCGGGCTGTCCTCGATTGATTGAGTGGGATGCGAAAAACAACATCGAAAGCTTTCTCCGGTTCGATCTTGTGTCCGGTGTCAACGAGATGCTCCGCGATCGCGTTTGTGATACAGCCGGTTTTCCTGACTTTACCATCACGGGTAGTGATCCTTAACGCGTTGAGACAAACGTCTTTTCGTACGACCTGGGTAAGGTAAACTGCCGAAACTGACCTCATCCATGAAACTTTTCTCTTTTAAGTGCGTCTGTGATGCATGTTACATAGATAGAACTTCAAACTCACACGAATATGTATAGAATATTGTGTTTGCTGACGGAGATCAATCAATCCTTTTAACTGATTTCTGTATTCGGTCATGCTCTTTGTTGTAAATCACAAGTCACCAGCTGTCGGGATGAAACTGAGCACACACACCACACACACACACACACACACACACAACCATGTTTCGCTGACTCACCCTAAACCGGTGGTGCGCGAGGGACATAGATCAACACCTCTGTGATTTCTAGCGATGGTCGTTTCGATTGGCTCTCTCTCACCCGTTGTAATGTGATAATTTGTTCGAGACTCTCCTTGTTTTTACCACGATATATTTCTTCTACTTCTTTTTATCAGATATGGTGCCATGCTATTACTTTCAGGGTGAGCGAAGTAACCAATCAGAGGACCGCGATACAACAGAGAATGTGGGAAGTCAGGTGGCGGTGGGATTCGATCGCACGTCCAACGGGGGCGATATGTTGGTGACTTTGACGGATTGCCCTCCTTCCACCTGCACTTGGAGTTTGTTGTAACTTGATTGTCAATTCACGCATGAAGCGAAAATAAATGTAATCCAAAATTGAGGAGTTCATACCATCCTGATAAAATATGGTTCTCTCGTGAATCTGTTCCAAATTACGAAGAGACAACGATGTACGAAACTTCCTCGGGAGTATCGCTTTTTCTTTTCTCGTTTTCATCTAAACGAGAAGCGCAATGAACCGACCTCAAATCTGTTATTACCATAAATGTTCATGTTCAGTTGCCAATAAAAAATACTCACAATGATTTTGTTTTCAATCGAACCGTTTATATTTTCAGTGCAAAATGTGCATTTCAAAGGGTATTTTACAAATTGAGTGAATCGTTGCCCACCATCATAAGCAAATCGTCCGCGGTCCCGTCCGATTTCGATCCAACACGATAGCCAAGGTTGTGCAAATTCTTTGTGGCCACATTGAAAATCACATCAACGAAGCCTTGGGTTTGTACTCGTGTTACTGGTTTTGTTTTGAGTAGAAATAGACCAGAAAGAAATAGTGCCAAGTGTCGAACGGAGAACGTGTGATCAGCAAATTCAACTTTCGATATCTGCTGGGACTTTTAACATGGAAATTCTGTTGTACCTATGCACTGGTATTTTACAGTACTGTATCATCGTCAGCAAACAATGAGGAGGTGTACACAAGTTAAGTAATACGTTATATCCGTTTAGTTGGCTACTTCACGTGAGCGGAAAAGAGTTGAACGAATTTTGACTGGAAACAAATAAAAATGGGATGGTCTGGTCGCAAACTGCTGCAGGTGAATACACCATCGGAGTGAGTGCAAGAATACACGGACGAAACTCTTCATTACAATAGTGTCCGATTAGAAATTGCTTGGTACTTTTCCACTCACTCTGTCACTCTCTGTCTGTGCACCGCAAACTATGTTCAGACTATCTGTGTCACTTACTGAATGCTACTTTTCAATGTCCTTTAAATTTTAGCGGGTTCAGGTGACTGAGCATTACCCGCAGCTGATTTATTCAACAAGGATGGAACAAGATCGAAATATCCCGTGTGGTAGAACTCATCTCATGTGAGGTTCCCTGAGTGGTATCGTTGTCTGTTGTTCTTCCGTCGAAAAAGAACAGTCTTTTATGTGACCTTTAAGTACCTCAAGTGCCTGTGTGCGGTTGTAGGAAAGACACGATCTTAGCCATTTTTATTTCATTGTAAATCGTGTGCATGTCTCCTCACTGGACCTTTTGGTTCATGGTTGATTTTGTATTTTCCCTGTCTTGCAGGTCTTTTGGAAGCCCACTCCACGGAGAACCTACTATGAGAAGTTTGTCCCACCTGTGTTTTGAGAGCGTCAGTGAGTGGCCAGTGATTGTGCGGCCTTTTGTGAAGACCCCAATTGTATAAGAACTCGGACTGCGTTGCCCGTAATCAGCCTGCCAGAGTCTTTCGAGTAGATTCAAAAGTAGGGGTCGGNGGTCCAGCATATTACACGACAACAATGATATGACTGTTGGGGACAGTATGTCATCAAAAAATATATACTCCAATCAGAAAGGCACTGTTCATTCAATAGCTTACGGATGGAAAGATAATCTCCAATTTGGGGAATCTTTATTTTTCGGTGCTTCACATTCCATTACACATGTTGGTCTATGATGAAGAACAAATTGGGCATATGATCGTAAATTCCGAAAAGGAAACCTGTCAATTAAGCGTCTAATAGACACGGCACCTCTAAGGCTGCCTTGGCTTCTTTCCTTTCTCATATGATGAGTTCATGGGCTACTAGGTGTACACTATGTTCTGTCTATTTGGTTTTCATGTATATACTCTTTTGGCAGCTAAATCTCACCCGGTGGACAAATCACCGATGAAGTGTCGACTCTCATACAGAAGGCTCGGTTGGCATTTGCCAACTTGAGACACCTGTGGCGCTGTCGCAACATCCAGTTGTCTGCTAAGGGTCGAGTGTATACTGCAGCAGTTCGGCCAGTTTTTCTATACAGAGCAGAACCGTGGTCATTAGGAAAACAGGATGAAAATAGACTGTTGGTGTTTGAACACCGCTGTCTACAAAGCACTGCACGAATTTTGTGGGGCAGCCAGACGAGCAGTGCGGAGGTTAGGCGCAGAGTTTTAGGTAAATGAGATCGACCTCCATAGATTACGTTGGTTGGGGTACGTGTTACGCATATCACCAGATAGGCTGCCACGGCGAGAGATGTTCGCCGAGGCAGGTAGCGTGTGGAAGAAAGCCAAGGGTGGTCAAGCCAAGACCTGATATGAGGGTATGAAAACCCTAACCATGAATCTTGGGTCACATAAGCCCCATTAGGCCAAGAGACAGCAATCAAAACCTGCGCACGATAGTGCATGGTTGATGGTTGTACAAACTGAACTGATATATTCTTGGGGTGAAAAAATGGCTGAGGATAAGATCGATAAAGGTATGCATCTTTTATATAAAGAGATTAATTGTTGGAAAGTGATCTAATCAACTCTAATCTAGCCACTGTTTGACAATCCTGGCGATTTCTATTCAGTGAAACAAAATTAACGAACGGGGACGTGTGATATTTGCTGTACCTTCTCTACCATCACCGCTGGCCACCACACGGGGATTGACGAATTCCGGTCGTTTACCCGAAAGCCATGCGTTCAGTTGCATCAGGACGGAAGATGACTGAGGTACAAACATTGGAATGCGTCGCTTGTGTCTATGGGGGAATGAAGTGGGGGAATACATTCAGTAAATATTAGATATTAATAATAATAATAATAATAATAATAGTGAACTTTTTCCGGTTATTTATGCAATACAATGCTGGGTAGGAAATCTTATGAAAAAAGGCAGAACACAGAAAAATAAAGGTGAGATTCAAATATAAAACCACCGAGCTACTTTAACGATGACCTAAATTATTGAAACAAAATCACTCCACCGGATGAAAGCGAAAGACGCAAGGAATTGACACATGATATCCAAATAGCAAGCCTAGAATAAAAATTTGGCTTATTTAATGAATTCATATGAATGTGTTTGATCTGATTAGCTAAGTGAACGATCAGTCGGTAACGCTTTGCAACCACGATAGCAATATTTTTTCTTGAGTGCTTGAATCTCATCAGACCTTTTTTTAGTTCGCGGCGTCTTATTTGGTTATTTGCCTTGCAGTTTTAACTTCAACCCCGACCCACGGAGGACCTGTCTGCCAGTGATTCCTAGCCACCTCACCACACTATCGACGTTCCCTCACCGTCATTCGTCGTCCACAAAGCATTGTATCTTCTCGAGCTGCGAGAATACAAGCCGAGAGACACCCTATCACACACATATGTGTCCACTTCACTGCGCTGCGAGAGCCCCGAGTAGTTTCGCTTTACAAGTCTACTTGATTTATAGCAGAAGGATCCTGAATACAATTGTCCAAAAGAGTTGGAATAAATACCTTGCTAAACAGGCCCCCAAAAGCTTATCTAGACAAGTGTCCGTAAACATCAATATCAAATTACTATTGTCCTTAACACAAATATGAACCAGTCTATTTCATTGAACTTGGCTTTCGGAGCAAGGTGAAAGTACCATCAAAGGGAACGCTATCCAACTAAACCAAACTATTTACAAGCAGACAATCCGCAATTACAATAAAGTATGGAGATAAGGAAATGCTCAGGGAAAAGCATTCATTTGACACTAAAAGTCGGCTTCATAAAGTATGCCATCAGCAAACTGAGCTGATAGCTCTTAGGTATCGTTTTCTATGGAGCAAGCGTTTTCTAAATTGAAGGGAATATGATAAGCCCCTCCCCCTCCTCTTAATCAAGTACAATATAACATGTGTAACAATTAAACGTCGTTCTGCCTATTTTTCCGTCCTCGATAAAAGTTTTGAATCCACCGCCGGTATTGAAACTCAAAACCATGGGCCTTGTAAGTGAAAGAATGTGATTTTTTTTAATGGATTTATTTATCAGTAAAACTTCAAAACTACGAGACCTCCAAAAGAATTAGAAATAGATGCAAATCCTCCCTCTCAATGAGTAACTAAAACCCAACTTCAGGTCTAACATTCCATCAGAACTGGAGAGAATTCAAAGATAGTTTACCGGTATGTTAAAAGGATAAAATCAATCACGGATGGAACCATGACAATGAAGTGGAGAAATCCCGAGATTGAGTAGAACTTGGAGTTATCACAAGCAATATTGGACCATTCAACAAGTTGTAATTATTCCTCATAGATTCGTTGCCCGATAAATGGTCCTATTATCACAGTTTATGAAGTAAATGTTGACAAAAAGATTTCTCAAAAATAAATCACAATTCTACGGTGTATTACCAATGGCAGCGAAAATCGAAAGAGAGAATTCGGTATAAATGAGAAGAAACAGATCACACAGAACATCAATATAGAGAATGTTGGTTTCATTCGCAGATGTTTCAAGAGGTTGTCGAAGGTCATTAAGTGTCTTATATTTCCACAAGTCACTATGTTTGTACTCTAGTGCACTCTGAGATAGATGACCTCTGAGAGAAGCATTATGGTAAATATACGAAAATCCTCACGAATTCCCATCACGCACATTTTTATTGCGCAAATGTATTGTTGATAAAACACAGACGGGGTGGACCCCATGTTCACGAGGACCTGCTGCTGTTCAGTGATGGAAACTGTGACCCTCAACCCCGAATCACATTTGGCCCCGCCAGGTTATGCGTGATATTGAACCGAACGACAGCACAGCTTCCTGCTACCAATGCTGGGTGGTGGTGGGGTTCTAACCTCGGACCGTAGGGTCCAAAGCATGCCGGTGACAGCGACTAAACAGCTGCATCACCACCACATCCATCCATCCAAACATACATACACACATAGATACATACATACATACATACATACATACATACATACATACATACATACATACATACATACACATACATACATACATACATACATACATACATACATACATACATACATACATACATACATGCACAAATATACAAACTACTTACAAAACCTGACAGAATCATCGATGACCAGATATATAATTGACGGAAACAATTTTGCTTTATCATTCAATGCTTGTATGGCTTTGGACTGAAAAGTTCAGGAAAACAAACTTATTGACTGTCATGAATTAGTGGGAACAAGGAACCGATAAACTGATTTATCAAATGCTTTTAACAAAATATCGCGATCTTCAGGTGGGAATAGACAAAATATTCTGAGTAACCTTGAAATCGATAAGCGTAGTATTCCAGTATCTAATCCCAGGATTATTTCTCGAAGTCACCTAAGCTAATCACGTATCACAGATAATAGAACTAAAAGCTGCTCTACCTGTCCCCCTAGGTGAGCATCTAAATAATCAGTATAACCGCAGAAAACGT